ATTATCTGTCTTCAAAGAGCAAACTACACAAAGATGTCTGAAGACATTTTTTTCCTTCCCTCAAGTATCTCCATGTCTACGACTTCTATTGAATTCAAAAAAAGAGAACTGCTAAAGCAAAATTAACAAGCTAGTCGGAATGGAAAAAAAGGGAATCTAATCCTTTTATAAAAATTGAAAAATGGAATCGATGAATTTTTATTCTCATTATTTGAGTGGTTTTTGTTGCTTTATTGGAAATCTTTTTGTGTGGAATATACAATGAAGTCCTTCAAATTTTGTGCTGGATCTTACTTACCAATGAGAATTTATTTTTTTGAATAGAATTTTTTAAGAAAAGAAATTTTTTCCTTGTAATCGATCCTTATTTAAAGGTTTTACTTCCGAGAATTTTTTTTTTGAGGTTATGTTGATGCTTTGATTGAATGTGGGGTCATTAATCAATGACGGTTGTTGGATTTTAAATTCTTCAAGTCACCTAACCTCGCCCCTCCTCCCATCTCATCCTAATCCTACCCTCATCTCGCTCCCTCCAGATTGCACCCCTAAATGCTAGACATCATTGTTAAATGACACAAAGAGTCATTAAAATCCATATTTTCCAACAAACAACCTGGAAAATTCGAATAAAGAACAAAAAAAAGTTAAAATTAGTAAAAAAGAAGTTTAACGGCATTTGACACGTGACTCACGCAGTGCGAACGATGCCTCAACATTTCCAACTTCACTCAATAAATAACAAGAGATACATGAAGTAATTTGTATCAAATTTGAGTCAAAAATTTGTTGTTTTTTGTCAGACATCCCGCTGTGCACTTATGCGTCGAGTTTTATGCCTTTAAACATGCATGCACGCACTGATTATGATTTAAATTCACGGAATATTATGTGAAAATGAATAATTAATAGTTTTTGAGGATATACAAAATTATTAAATTGATACATTTATGAGCTACATCCAATCACATGCTGGCTTTTTTGTGTTCGACAATTTCTCCATCCATTCCTCCTTCTCTTCTCAGCAGGACATTCTCTCTGTGGCTGTATATGTTCTATTACTAAGTGGAAAAAATCCAATTTACCAATTGAATCGCCATTTTCCTTTTCACAAGCAATCTTACATTATTGAAGGAACAAGAATGGAAGCAAAGCATAAGACGTAAATGCATCCATAAAGATAGAAACGAAGGAAATTTACGAGCTTCCAACTGACGGCAAATTGTGGCATAAATTTCCACTTTTCTTCTTCAAAAATCGACAATAAAAAAAAGGAACCGAACAGAAAAGAAATCTTTTCTCAATTGAGTGGAAATAAATTTTCCAATAATCAAAGAAAGTCCTTTTTTTGGCTTCTAGCTAGACCAACAACGACATCGATTGGCAATAAAAAATTTATCTTCTCTCAAATTGCTATTTTGTATCCATTTTCTTTTGTTTCTGCTTCAGATAATTTAGTAGTCTACGATTACATCAAATGGATTGAGATGGGAAAATACTGCTGCTTATTGCTTGAGGGAAAGATTAATAAATTGAGTGGAAAATTTATTTCTGGTGACTTTTTGGAATTGGAAATTTTAAGATTTTAACAGTTTTTTGACTTTGAAATTCGAACTTGTTTAAAAAACTTGAACGTAATCTTGTATACAAAACTTGTACGTAATCTTGTATGCAACTATTGTCATTTACAAGCGAAAATTGTACGTAATTTTTGGAGAATTGTACAAAACATTGTTTACAAAACTTGTACGTAATCTTGCATACAAAACTTGTACGTAATCCTGCATACATAAAACTTGTATGTAATTCTGCATATGAAACTGTTGTATAATCTTGATTTTAAAAAACTTGTACGTAATCTTGTATACAAATCTTGTACGAAAACGTGTATGCAACTATTGTGCGTAGTTGAGTATTTTGAAACTTAAAGAGTCATTTACAAGCAAAAATTGTACATAATTATTGTGGAATTGCACAAAACTCATACGTAATCGTATACAAAAACTTGTACGTAATTACGAGTATTTGTAACTTGAAAATATACTTGTATGCAAAACTTGTAAGTTAGATCCCAAAAAAAATCCTTGCGTACGTGAATCATCAAAAAAAAATGAAATTTGGACAAATTCAATCAATTAAATTATTCATCAGCGTTACAAAAACAATCATTAAAAACTAGTGTTTGGTATTTTTAGATCAATTCATTACTATTCTATGAAAATAAAAGTACAAAAAGGTGAAACAATAAAAGCCATTTAGTGTAAATTGAATTGTGTAAGATATGCACAGCAGATTCACTTGAGATATAAAGGAAATTGGTAATCAATTATTCATCTTGTAATCCCTTTTTATCTCCGTGGCTATATCTTATTCTTATATAAATGAAAAGTGCTGCACAGTAAAGCAATTTTCCACTGAAATACAATCCAACCTTCTTATGCTCAGTAAGTAAGAAGAACTTGAGATGTAAAAAGCTAGTAAACCTCATAAACCGATAGTGTAAACGTAAACACTTGAGAGATCATCAAGTGCATTTACTTTCCAGGAAGAACATCCACAACAACATAAAAACAGACGTTAAAAAGATGGCACAAAGAAAAAGTGCCAATAAAAGTCACACGAATGCCACTTGCTGTAATGAGATTTGCACCTTTTTTGACTGCTTGAAGGAATGGATTTTGTATTTCTATGATTTTTAGAGGAAATAAAGTGGCTAAGTGATATTTGTTCCTATTATTGCAGATTTGGCAACGATAAAACAGAGCTAGACATCATTTTAAGACTTTAGGATTGAGAATTTAATTTATAATGTCAAGTTCCAAGCTTTAGAAGCACTTAGACGGTCTTGGATAGAACTTTTTTGTAATTTTGAATTTTACCGTTAAGAATTTTAAATTTTACAAAACCGTTAAAATTGTAATTTTTTCCACAAACCTTTTGAATTACCATTTTGACTAGCTATTCTTGTGATAGTTTCTATCCACTAAATAAATGCGCTCAAGATCCTGCATCAGTAGTCAACAAACTCTGTCATCACAGCAAATAATCTTACAAAAATTACTTTACAGCTCCAATAAAAAATAGAAAAAAGCAAACTGTTCACAAGAAAATAAATCACAGTCGTATCCCAAAGGAATTTCCACAACCACTCGAGCACATGCTTCTGCTAAATAACATTTTGTAAATTAATTTCGATTAACTTTTGAGTGCGTGAAGTTTTTTTTATTATTTGTTTGAGAAACAAGTTCCTTTGCCATTCTCATCCACTCGAGTGTTTATCAATAAATTATCTATTAAAAGATTACGCGTAAACAGCTAGTCCTTGGAGAATTGATGAGCTTGAGATAATTTGTAAGTGTGCAGGTTCAACTTTTTTTTACTATTTGGCATTTCTCACACCCTAAACCGTCGATTTTAAACAGTTAATAAATAAAATTATATGTAAAGTATATAGTCTCTCGAGACATCATCGACAATATGTAGCGAAAATCATAGCCGCGACTCACCCTAGTTTTGAAATTCTTGTAAACCTGATAATGAATGTTCTAAATGCTTCATTATTGTGTAAATATTTCATTGATCATCATCAGCACTAGCTCACATTTCGTCCTTTTTACGACTCATTGCCGGCTGACTGAGGGATTGCACCCCTCTTGAAAAACATCTCCGACCCCGAAATGAATGAAGTGTTGTAATAATTTCAATTATATTGACTATCTTTATGTATAATGCTAAGTACAATAGATATATCTAGCTTGTTGAACAAATGCCGTCTCTTATTGTAATTGCCGGATACTTATAATGAAAATATAATTTATTTACTGCAATTACTAATCGACTTATTAATAATTTTCATAATAATAAATTTTCCATCCTCAATTGACCTCTCTTTTCGTACAATATCTTGTGGATTAATATTCAGCTCATGCATCTTAATCCATCCTCTTGTCTTACTCATTGACCATTCATCACGCCTTTAATTAAATGCAAATGAATGGTTTAAATGAAAAATTTGCATTTATAATTAAGAAATTTTGCATTTTTTTTTCTTTTTTTTCATTTTTTATTGAGATAAAAATTCAATGAATTTTTTATGACTCGTCATTTCATTTCAAACACATAATTCCATTGAATGCTCGAAACGTGGACTGGTTTTACGAGTTGGGAAATTTATTTGAAACTTTGTTGGATGGGGTGAGCATAAATAATTGCTGAATTCTTGAAAGGGTAATTTTGAATTTTCAACGGTATTGTGAAATTTGAATTTTAAAAATTTTGTATGATTTTATACTTTTAACGGGTTTAAAGGATTCATACATCAACCGAAATTTTTTTAAATTCAAATTTATAGTGAAGACACAAATTAGGTTTAAAAAAATTGTGACTTGAATACACGTTTTCTGATCAAAACTGTGTCTTGGACACAAAAGTTTTAAAAATTGTGTATTAGGTGAAGTTCAAAATTGTGTCTTGAATGAACTTCAAAATTTGAAAGTTCGTTAAATTTAAATTTGTTTTTAAATATATTGAAATTCAAAATTTCTCAAAATGTAACGGACAAACAGCTCTGCAAGAAGCTCATCTTATTCACAGTAAATCATTTCAATATAAAATATACAAGCAGCTCTGGTTAATAAAATTCATTTTCTCCTCTTTCATTTTCACTTTAATCCTCCTTTTGTATGTGCTTAGATGAGAATAATATCAAGTAAAGTCCTTTATTCATGCCTAATCATTTAATTCCGATGATAATATTCCCCCATCTTCAATAATAGAAAAAAATTTAATGAAAAAATTTTAATCCTATTTCGATTAAATGCCACTTTTAAAGTCAACTCATGTGGCGTTAGTGAAAATTGAAAAATTTATGGGCATTGGAAGTAAAATTGCTTTTTATATTTTTATTTTTTTCTTCTTCTAATTCTAAAGAATTTTTGCTTTATTTTGAAATCCTGAAATTGAAAAATATTTTAATCGCTTTTAAATGTCTTTTCTATTTACAGGTTTGGTTCCAGGTCAGTAAACACAGCATTTCAACTTGTCTCGAGCTATGGGAGAATCCATTCCCATAAATCTTAATTCTTACAATTATTTATCATTCCTTTATAAATTAAAATTAATTTTTGTGTAATTTTAATTGCTTTAGAATCGACGAGCAAAGTGGCGAAAAACTGAGAAATGCTGGGGACGTTCTACAATCATGGCTGAATATGGGCTTTATGGAGCGATGGTTCGACATTCCTTACCTTTACCTGATACTATTCTAAAGTCAGCAAAAGAAAACGATGGTGTTGCTCCTTGGTTACTTGGTAATTTTAAACATATGTTAATTAATGTGGATAATTCGATGGATATTCCAATGGAAGCTTGCATTGTTTTTTGTCAGATTTACTGGAAGTTGAAAACCCGTTAATATTTGAGTTCTACAAAACCGTTAAAATTTGAATCTTACAAAAACGTTAAAATTTGAATCTTACAAAAACGTTAAAATTTGATTCTTACAAAAACGTTAAAATTTGATTCTTACAAAAGCACTAAAATTTGAATTTTACATAAGCGTTAAAGTTTGAAATTTACAAAACCGTTAAAATTTGAAATTTACAAAACTGTTAAAAAATTTGAGTTCCAAAAATCGTTAAAATAATAAAACTGACAACTCCAGAATCCGATCAAAAACATTCTGAGCATTCAAAGAATTAAAGATTATCACCTAAACTACAAGTATTTTAATAATTTTAGAGCAAACTATGTTACAAAAGAAGCTCAATGAGACAAAGGATATAAAAAGTAATTGAGTTTCAATCTACGTTTTGATAGCATAATTTAAATAAGTTTCTCGATTCGGAGAATTTCAATCAGATGAATTTATTGTCTTAATTCCACATATAACCGAGTCTCATAATTTTACTTTCAGGTATGCATAAGAAATCTATTGAGGCAGCAGAAGCACTAAAGAGTTCCGATGAGAACAGCGACAAAGAGGATGACAATGAAACTAGAACTGAAAATAGCGATACAAGCTCATCAAATCATCAACGAAAGACACCAACGACACCAATATCGACAGCTATAACACCTTTAACGACTTTAAAACCCAAGAAAACATCGAATAGCCCACCGTCATCGACTTCTGCATCACCAATAGCTATGTCACCGCCAATATCAAGTCATCCGTCAAGTACACCGAATCAGCGATCGATAGAGGATTTGTCAGGACGAAAGGATCATGAAATGTCAAGTCCAACATCAAGGACACATTCAAATGGTGGAAGTAGTTATCACTTGAGTCCAAATGAACAAAATAGTCCATCGACATTAGCTCATCATCATCCATCAGTTGCACATCATTATCCGCTTAATCCAATGAACCCATCGCCTGACACTGATGCGGAAGTGTTTAGGTGGGTGAACTACAATCGCGACATTCCTGTCTCTTTTATACGGTGAATTATTTTTTTTATGTTCTAACTTTTTATGATTTTCCATCCCTTTTGACAATATTTAGATGCCTTACTATTTGACATTATTACTAATTGTTGGTTCCTTGTCTATATTTTTTTTAGAAACAATTCAATTGCATGTCTTCGTGCTAAGGCTCAAGAACATCAAGCACGTCTAATGAACAGTGGCTTATTGGCACTTCAAGTACGATCTCTAGCTGGTCTTCAGCATCATCAAGTACAGCACCAACAATTACCAAGTCCAATGAGCAGCTCGCCAGACAGCATAATGATTCATTCACAGCACTCACCAAGTCCAATTCGATCACCTGAAAGTAACAATAACAATAATAATAGCAGCCGAAATTTTAATTCAAGTATGACGCACTCAAGTGACGTTAGTGAAGACATTGATATTGAGGAAGTGAAGCCGTTTCATAATAAAACGAATGTTAGTCCAAATGTTGTAACGTTTTGACATTAAAAAATAATTGTATTTGATATTCTGTAAAATTTTGTGATGCTATGAATTGTAAAAGAGTATGTTCTGGGAAGCATATGGAGGGGAAGGGGTCTAGTAGGAATTACATTCGATATTTTGGTTCTTAAAATTGATCTTTTTAGTGTAAAGTTGACAAGCAAGTGAGTTGACTGAGTTGTATAGACGGTAATGTCAATGAACAATACTAGAAGTCTATTCTTTGGCTATGATCTTACTCAATACAATTTAAATGAAATTTAAGATTAGACTAGACCGAATTAAAGCAAGGAGGTCGAATCTTATAATTTGGCACCAGGCGACATAAATCCTAGCTGCAACGTTGAGACTTCATACTATTCAAACTCAGATCAGCTTAGTAAACTTAATTTTGATGTCTATTGTAGAGTATTAGAAGTCTAAGAACCAGTCAAAAAGACTTCAATTGTCAGACTTGCTGAGCATGTCCTATCCTATGCTTCTCAAAATGTATATTAGCTAGAAGATTTGACAACGACTAAAGATATTTTATTAATAAGTCAAAAAGATCCAGTGAGAAACTACAAAGCATATAGTTTTGTGCAATAAAAGATGAAAGATTATGTAAAATATTTAATAGCGAGATGTGCAACGAATCCTCTTGATTGTCGATGCTCTAAGAATCCTGTAAATAGCTAAATTAAATAAATATTGTGTTAGTGATAAGGCGATATTAGTTAAGCTATAGAGAATAAAAAATGAATAAGTAATAACTTTATATTAATAATAAATAAAAGGAATTAATTAATTTAAATTTTCTTTCTAAATCTTTCTGGAAAATCAATAAAAAAGAAATTTAAAGCAAATTGAATTTTGTTTTTTTTCGGAACTAAACTTAGTCTAGTCCACTTTTTATTCATGACTTTTCTTCATTTTTTTGTGTGAAAACAAAAAATTTTTCTCGAGCACGTCTGCTCAATTTTGTTTAATAATAAGGAAATTTTACAGGTCATACATTTTAACCTTCATTAAGATCCATAAGAGTTCATAAATTAACTATCATAGAATTTTAACTGTTATCGTACACATTGAAAAGTGTCTGTGTGTCTGTTTTTTTTTTTCAATAAATTTATGGACAGTTTTTTTGCTTTTTGAAGTTGATTTTTTTTTAATTTTTTATTTTTTTTTTGTACTTAAAATGACAACTTCATCATCAATATGCTTTTTTTCATTACTTTTATTAGTAAAATAATTTCATTTCTATATGCAAAACATCTATTATCTGGTTTTTTTACGCAATCATACTTCTTCTTCGTTAGCAAGTATTGTGGTAATATTGTTAAGGTAGTGGTCATGTTCCATCAACTTTTAATTGTGTATTCTTTCATGCATTGTTATAAAATTTACGCTTGCTTTTTTTTTGATTTGATTTGTGTTTCTTATCATTGTCAATTTGTTATCTATGAAACTACCATAGCTAATTTTTTTGCCTAGCTGAATGATTAAAATTTTCGATTTTGATGAATTTTTAACTGACTTTTCAGATTTGTATTTTAACGGTTTTAATAATTTCAAAATTTGAACCTCGAAGATTAAAAATAAACTGAACTGATTTCAACTTGGATTACTGAACAGATTTGAACTGAACCCAATTGAATTTGGATTACTGAACAGATTTGAACTGAACCCAATTGAATTTGGATTTGAACAGATTTGAACTGAACCCAATTGAATTTGGATTACTGAACAGATTTGAACTAAACCCAATTGAATTTGGATTACTGAACCGATTTTTGACATTTGTTTAAAACTTTCCCAACCGTTTGAAAATTTAAATCTGAGAAATCCGTTAAAAATCCTTCAAGTTTATTTTATGTTTATTTCCATTGAAACTTTGATCATACTTATTTCAATTTACTAGCAAGAAATGCAATATTTACTCCAAAATTGCGTCATTGTGTGTTTGATATATTTAAAACTTAGGAAATGAGGAAAAAGTGTGGTAAAGAAAAAAATTTAAAGTAAAATGATTATTTCTTCAAAATTGCTTTCTCTCTCTTTCAACAAAGCCCATCAACATCACGTATAGTATTCATTTTCTGAATTATTTAGATTATCATGTTCACTTTCACACATCATCTTGCCATTCCGCTTATTATTTCTCTGTTATTCTCAAATATATTGACAGAAAAATAAAAAATATCAATATATGTTGCTATTAATTTATTTTTTGTTATTCCTACAATTAATGTTATTATTAAAAATTATTCAGACTTATGTTCTATTTTCAATTTATTTCTTTTCTCAACTTTTTTTTATAAATTTTTGATGACGACTCGCAGTGAGTAAGTAGATATCTCTTAAAAACACTTGTCTATTCACGAATGACGATAATAATAGTATATATGCCTTAGACAACTTAAAAGAAAATATAATTAGAACTTTTCAGGACTAACGTTTTCAAAATTATTACCTAAATTACTTAATTTAGTATGTGTGTGTGATTTTATTAAAAAAATATTGACTCAAAAATTGGCAAAACATCTCCTCATACAAGTGTTTTTTTTTCATTCATCTTTACGATTATATATCTATCCACATTTAAATGAAGAATCTCTGAAGAAACTCAACCAGACCAAACTGATTTCCTTCAGATAAATTAAACGAATCAAATTAAGCATGCATTATAGAAAATAAATTTGCATAGTAGCTAATATAATATTTTTTGTGAATCATAAAAGATTAGACTTGAATAAGAGAACAAAAACAATTGAAAATTATATATGTACAACTACTTCAACATTAGCGCCATTAATTTCCGTTTATATAATTCAATTTCAATAAATATCCCATTTAAATCATTCAATTTTGTCATTTACTTCTGATACTTTTTGGCTCAATTTCAATATTTTTTTCTCAGTATATCAAATGCAATTCTTTGTTTCTTGACAATTTGTGGTCAATTTGGATGTATGCTGACTTTTTGTGTTAGAAAAGTTTCAGCTTTAACGGTTTCTTTTTGAAATTTGAAATGAAGACTTTTTGAAATTTGAGTTTCACAACTTTTTGACATTTGAATTCTTACGACTTTTTGAAACTTTTAAGCAACGGTTTAGTTTACATTTAGAAAATTTTAATGTTAACTTCTCACAAACGCCACTGAAACGCATATTGTGATATCATTCATTCATGAGCTAATAAATTATTGAACAATAAACAGATCTGTGCCAAATTGTGCTCGTTTATGAGTCTACAAAGATCAGAAGACGACAAAATTGATTCCATTCATAACGAAACGTGTCGAAAAATAATCAAAAACATTCTCAATTCGTTTCGTGGTATCTCCAAAAAGATATAAATTGCATCAACATCTACAGACATATAGATAATGATATCTGGTTTTTGAGACAGCATACATATTCTAACTATTTTTGAGCGATATGCACTTTAAAATGTACATTTTAAAACATTTTTTTTTGTTTTTTATTACTTCCAATCACAATCTTTTCATATCATTATCATTTAGAACATATTTTTGTTGTAGGGATTACTTCCTTCCTTACCTCCTCTTTGCTTTGACATAAAATTCTTAAAACTATGAAAAGATTTGATATTCAATATAAAATCTGCTTTATCGACTATGCTAAACTTCCATGTCGCTGAATGCAAAGAATAAGATTATATAAAAACGTAAATACTTAAGCAGATAAAAAAAATTAAGATTTCCATGAATTATAGCTTCTCATTTCCTTTCATTGTGTATGTATGGGATATTCTGCATATAAAATAATTTTTTTTTGTAAGAAACTTGATCCATGTGACTCCAAACTATCTCTTCTGTTCTGTTTGTTGCTATCGCAAAATTCTCAAACTTGATCCTTCACTTTTTTTTCTTTCTTTTTCTAAAATTTTAACTTTTTTTGATATTTTTTTGAATTTTAAATTTTTTTTTGCATTTTTTTTTTGTGATTTTGGGTCATTCAGATTTACTTCGGTAATTATTTCCATGTTAGCAGCAACTGCTTGTTTTCTTCTTATCAATTATGGTTTTAAAGTGTATAAGTGTTGTGGTAAAAGAAAGAGGAATTGAAAATTAATTAAAAATTCATACATAATCACTCAGCAGCTCAATAGCTCGCTCGCTCGCTCTCTCTCTCTCGATTCCGAATAGATTTTTTTGTGTGTTGCTTATTGTTATTGTTCCCTAAAGATATTCGAAGTAGTAGTAAAAACCCTCTTATTCTGTGTAACTTCAAATTTCCTTTTTTGGTGATGTCTGTTCTGATCATTCATTTCTTATTCTTCATTCTATGTGTGTGTTAAAAGTCATCATTTAAATTTATGGCAACGGTGGAAATGTATTGCTATCAAGAAGTAGCTCATTTGAACTGTTACTATTTGTCATTGCACGTTGTTCTCGCTCTCGTTGCTCACGTTCCTGTTTGGCTTGTTGTTTGACCATTGCTTGTTGAGCTCTCGCATGCGGCGAAAAGACTTTTGATTGCGGTATAGCGGGTATAATTGGTTGAATGAATTTCTTTACAGGCTGCGGGTTCATATTTGATGTGACCATTTGATGGTGATGATTTGTTGGTGATATTTCGTCTCGTGACTTATTTGATAAATTATCTTGATCATCGCTTTCGTCTGATTCGGAAATTTCATCAGAACTTATACTTGATCGACGAATTGTGTGACTATCGTTTACATTTGATTGCATTATTTGTTGATTCTGTTGATACTTAAATACACCTGCTGCCATGTTTGGATCCTGTGTTATTATTCCTTCATTTGTCATTCGTCGTTCGATTACCGTTTTAATCCATGCTCGGTAATCGATGACTTCATCTGTTATCTTTATTATGCGACCTAATATACTCTGGCGATTGCAATCATTAAGGTAATTGTTGAGAGGTGAGACAGCTTGACACAGTACTATATAAGCGTATTCAAAAGCCTGTTTTACTTGGAGTGCACCTGAAAACATCGAGATTCATTATTAGATCGTTAATTTAAAATTTGAATTTTCTAGTCAGTTTAAATTTTTTTGAACCGTTTTAGTTTTGAATAATATTTGACACTTAATAATTGTGATGCTTACCATAGGAAGACCTTCCAATATCGTTGCCTGGCGTGAGAGGATCTTCTATACATAATAAGCTCGGCCTGTGTCCATCAATCATTTCACGTTGCAGCTCTTCCTTTGGAATATAACGACCACCATTCTTTATACTAATTCCCGTTTTCATATAATTAAATTTACGTCCATATAACTCGAAGAATTCCAGCAATAAAACACCCAAATTTGCGTTATTATATGAATTTTGCCTCGGATGAAGTTGTAGGAAACTAATACACATTAGAATTAATGAATATGATGAGATGCCACCTAAAAAAATGTAGGATAAACATTAGAATCAGAATGTCTAGTCAAGTGCGCAGTTTTACAAACCGGTAAAGACTTCGTTTAGATCGCGTTGAAGAAGGAACTGCTTGAGAACTAATACTAATTTCGAAAGGACTGGATATTGACGCTTATAGTCGCGAATCAATTCAGCCGATTGAACACCAGATTGCATATTGAACGAAATATCAACTTTAACTTGAGTTTCACGGTCTGTCAATTTAACTATTGGAACGGATGCCTTATCTAAAACACGTATTGAATGTGGTTCAGCTATACGGCTTTGTAATAGCTCATTTTCTAATGTCCTCAACGGTAACTTTTCCCATCGACCAATCACAACCAAATCTACAAAGGAAAAATAGACAAAAGATTAGTAATCGAGTTTTCATGTATGATGCTTGGACTTACCGATATCACTAGTTGGCAAATAGAGTCCTGTCCGGAATGAGCCGAAAACTTCAACACGAGCGTTCGGCCAGAGCGATAAAACAGTTGATTCAATACGCGAAACAACCTCCAAACGTGCCGTATGTTCGAGCGGTGTTGGAATCATGTGTGCATAAAATTGCTCAATCTCTTGGTGCAGTCTGCAACAAAGAAAAATGAAGAAAACAAATTAGTCTATACATTTAATTGCAATGGAAAACCCAATTTGTCAATTCTTTTGTGTGAAAAGTCATAAAATGCAATCATACTGTCTGTGCATGAATGAAAAAGTAAGTCAATTTTTGAGGCGTCAATAAGCATTATTTACAGCTCGACATTCCCATATTAACAATCATCAATGAATACGGACAAAATGGCAACAAAAATACATATTCGGTGCAATGATTCACATGAAATTATTCAAAAACGTTCAGCAGAAAGGAATAAAAAGTTTTATTTTGTATTTTTTTTTTCATATCTTATTAATTTATAAAGGCAACACATGTCTCGCAAAATTCTGTTGAAAAAAAAATAGAGAGACAGAACAAGATGAAAATTAAGAGTATTGCACCTACACAATATATTTTTTTGCCCGCATGATTATAGTCTTATTGAAAATGAGCTCATGTAATTATTGCGTCGGGTTCATTGAGTATTCACAATTAACTCTGCCTAATTTCTAGAATTATCGACAGCAATTATAAAGTTTCAGTTTTCAAGAACACTAATAAATTAGCACGAAATTATTATTATACCATCTCAGTTAATTTTTGAGTAATTAGTCAGAATTAGATCATCTTGGGAGGTGAGCTTTCAGATTATGTCATCTCAGAATGAGAATTTTCGACATTTGATTATCTTGTAAGTAAATTTACTCAAATTCGTTCATCTCAGAATTAAATTTACTCGAATTAGTAGCCAATTATGTCATCTCGGTAGGACATAATTCAATAGCTTCAAAAACAACTTTCTGTGCCAAAAATAACTTCATAATCTCGTCAAAATGCGCTTATTACAATATTCCACCGTGCAAATAACTATTTAACTTTTATACTTAATCTAACTTTGTAGGAAAAGAAGGAAAAAACATTGAAAATGTGGGAGATATTTTTAAAAATGAATTAAATCGCTGTTGCTAGCGCCTCAAAAAAGACTTTTTTCCTCTCAATTTTATCTCTCTTCTCGCCAATTTCAAACATCTTTCCTCTCAGACCGCGTTCAATAATGCTTATTAATTGCAAATATGTCGAATGTCACGAATGAAAATTTATAGTTACGGCGACACTAAGCATACACAACACAATTCATTGAGTAAACAAGAAAATATTCATTCATTGATGTTACAAATAAGGCGGAAAAGTGGAATGAGAATTGATGAGTGATCATCGTTAAAGATGAGACTGAATGATTATTATGAATGTTAAAAAAATCAAAAATAGATGTTTTGACTCATTTCTCGTCTATTTCACCCTGCACGTAGTTTCTGTTGAGAAGAAAAACAACCACTACATTGGCGTAGGATTTCCATAACCTACAAAAAGATGTGGAATGATTGTATTGTCTTTGTGAGTGATGAATATAGAAGGTGCAATTGTTTAACTTTAAATATTTATACAGCTCCTCACACGGCATGATCTGCCTTATAGTGCAATATTAAGCTCATAAAGTCTTGATGAAAAATGTTATTTAACGTAATATATCATTATTTTTGCTATTAAAAGTCTGCCATTCTTTATAAATATCAAAAATAAAAACCTTTAAGATTGTGAACTTTTCTACGATCTTTTTATAAAACAACCTTCATATATTCAAAGGATTTGTGCATTTGAGAGACATAACAGTGCGAATTAAAAGTAAATGATGTAAATTTTGACGCCAGAAAATTATTTAATGATCAATGATCGCAATAAGTCACATTTCACTCGTGAGGATTTTGAATGTTATGGTCAGTCACTTGCTCAGTACGAAATTGAACTTGAAATTAGCCGCATTATTAAGAAGAAAAATTGATTTTAATTAAATTGAACCGCCCCGCTAATTACAGTCAATTTAACTTGCTGCCTTTTTGTGATTTTTGAGCGGAGGCATTAACTTTCCTATTTTATTTTGAACGCTGATTTTTTTTATATTTATATTGTCTTGCTGGTTATCTCTATGGGCTATATATAGAAACAAAATTTTGCAAAAAACATTAACCTCGAAGTCTTCGTTTTGTTTGCTTTACTTTCATCGAATGTTTTTTTTATATTTATTTGAATCTAAATCATAAGCATATTCATTGCAAAGCTGATCAAGGTTTGGTTTTGCCGGTAGATTGAGATAAAGTTACTCTTTTGAATGTCAAGTGAATAGTTATTAATAGATTTGAATTTTAAACGAATTTCTAGGTTTCGAATTTTAAGCAGATTTTTGAAATTTGAATGTCGACGGTTCTTTGGATTTTAAATCTTAGCGATTTATTGGATTTTAAAATAAATTGAACAGAAACGAACCATTATTTGTTGAACAAAAAATACCCAGACAGCCACCAAAAAAAGCCAAAACTAAGTTTCTCTTTACATGCTGTCAGCAATCACGAAAAAGTGCATTCTTATTATTGAGGAAGGTTGTTTTAATTTTTTGTTTGATAGATAGACGAACGAATTGCAATAATTTCACAAAAACAAAATGTATGAGTGAAAAATTAATTAAAATATATTGTGTGCAGAAAAGCAATCAGCTAATACCGCTTCATGAATTAAGCATTTCATTTCGACTGTTGCTTTTAATTTTCACTCGATTCAATGTGCTTTTTCTTCGTGTGCCTGTATATCTGTGTTCATTATGGGCCACGAAATTCATTAAACATTTTTTCAGTTCTCGTTTTTAATTCGATTTTTATATATATATTCTACAAATACACTAGTTTTGCTGGTTATTTTGTATGTATTGATATGGGAACAGAATCATTATCAAGGTTTTGGAGCTATTTTATAAGAAGAAATGAATTCTATACATAGTAAATACATCTTTAACTTCTAAACATGTTAGAATATAACCAGAAAATTTGTTTTATATATGAAATGTCGCTAAAAATATAAACCTCGCAGCAAGAGATTATCATATGATAAAAAAAAGTTACTCAATATTAACACATTCTCACAACTAAATGAATATGAAAAAAGAAACTGAAAACTCTTCTTTTTTTTATCAAATCGACCGTACATTTCATTTACAAGTTGACATTTGCTTCTCAGATTATCATCTTTTCAACATAAAATTCATTCGAGTGACTTAAAATTAATTGATTTACGAACGATTGCAACTTTCTGCCAGATTCTCTTCTTGGATCTTCGACATGTGACTCTTTTCACACATATTTGAAATGCTTCCTCTTCCTCCTTTTACACTTGCCATTTACTTTTTTGACTAATGATGATAAATGGCATCATCAAATTAACATGACAAAAATACCTGCATTCTCGATTATTATTTCTTGTGCAACTAAATGATTCAACATTCCTTCGAATATTTGACATTTTAAAGAAAGAATTTTGAACTGATCGATCGACACAGGTGTTCATCTTCGGAGTCTTAGACTGGTTTAGGCATGATTTAAAGACTTTGGGTCATTTTTGCAGGTACACCCTACTGTGATGAATTTAAACTTGTTTTAAATCGATTTGAATTATTTTTCTACTGGAACTTATTCGAGGAAATACTTTTGGAAAGCATAGGAAATCAGATGCATTTTAACTTCGAATTCTGACAAGCAGATTTTTGAATTGCCAACAGTAAAACCGACAGCCATCGAAGGATAGCGTTGTGAGGCAATATCCTAATTGTGCCATAAGAGACCAATGCCTTATCTCATTAAAGTCTATAAATATCTCAAAACTCATTACATTCCTAAATTTAACTAATTTCAATCACATCAACCCTTCAAAAGTCCCAAATTGCAACAAACTTGCATCATGTCGTCAAACTCATCAATCAAATCAACTCGAATGGAAAAGTTTCCGATTTAAAAGTTTAAAAAACCCATTTGCAGAATACTTTCACAATAAATGTTAACATTTCAATTCTAATGTCGTCTACAAACAGCAACAGAAATAAGTAATAAACATATCTATAACCTTTTATTATCAACCATCCTACTATAAAGCACACATATACATTGTATAATGTAAATCAAATACGAAAAGAATTTTAAATTTTTGATTATTTTTTTGAATATTTTAAAGAAATGAGAAGCTTTTGGCTGCACATTGACTTGTTGTCTGTCTAACGGTATTTTAATTCACTATCGTACTTGACGGGGGTGGAAGTGAGTGTGTAAAAGTGTCAGTGAATTTTTAACAGATTTATTATAGATTTAAATCCCTTTTTTAACGAGCCCACAGGCAGGATGGATAACAGTTCTAAGCTTTTTAAGCAATTCAATCAAATTTTCCTTTAAAAATAATGCAAAAGAAGTTAAATGACTAGAGAAAAAGGCGCACTGGTCAGTCACGAGCGACAATATTCCTCCTAGCTGTTGTTTTTTTCTATCAATCAAATCACGTGTATGGCTCTGTTTTTACGATTGTGTCATAAGTTCGTTTACTCATTCTCTCTCTTTCATTTTATTATTTTTTTTTCTTTATTTATTGTATCCGCTATTGGTAACAGCAGTAGTGGAAAAAAAAGTCACAAGAGCGATAACTAAGTTGTGGACGACGAACAAGTGATAATTGAGAAAATCTGCTTTTCAAAAAAATGATTCTTTTTTCGTAGTCGTTGTCGTCGTTACTCTCGTCTGTGTGAGTTTATGGCGCTCAAAATGACGAAAGATTTTTTTTTTTTCTAAATTTTCTTCTTTCTAGTCAGGATCTATTTTGATACACACAATTAAATAAACGCTATGATGAACAACGACTAATTAATATTCTATGAAGATTCACTACTTCATCACATGCTGACTTGGAATTAGCACAGATTTCTCCAATAAACATTATTTTTGAATTTTTTGCTGCCTACTTAACGAAATGACTCATGAAGTTTTAATTGATATGATTACAGTCGGCTCGAGATTTGATAACTTGTAAAGTTTCACCGGAAGGTTCAGTTATGAAGTCTTTCGTTAAATTGAATTGATTAATACAGAACCCCAAAATGAAGGACGTCATAAGCGAATGGCTCCTTATTTAACAACTCAGCCCAACTGTTATGAATATCGTAGACAATAACAACTTAATGGGAACGTAGATGATCAAAACAGAAGTTAGTTTTTCTCAGAACATTTTCAGGCTAGCAGATATTGTGCAATATAAATTTATTATTAATTCAACTGTAGATCACAGTTGAATTGTGTTTTAATTCTCTTCTTATTTCCTTTCTTCTAAGCTATATAATATATTTGTATCAGAAATAATAATGATAACAGAAACAAAACTTCAAAGTCGTAATGAAGACAAAAACAAGTTGCTAAATTATTTGTTTTTTTCGGAATTGAGAAAAAAAATATTTTTTATTACAAATGAGGAGGAAACTGTTCGTAGAGAATTGAATAATAGAATTGTATAAGGCAGATAGCACGTGGGTGATCTATAAATTTTTTTTGTGCCGGGTCAATCAATTGTTTTAAACGGTTATTTGAAATTCAAAATTTAAACTCCAGTGAATGATGAAAAATTCAAATCTCAAAAATGCGCTTAAATTTATTTGTTAATCGTTGACCCTAAAAAAATTCTACCGAGACATTCCAATGCTGAAATGTTTACGAAAAAGTATCAATATGAAATATGCATGAGAGCTTCAAGTATAAGAAACTCAACAGGTGATTTTAGATAATTTTCAGAAAATTATTTCAATATTTCTCATTTTCCCATACTTATTTCATTATAGCGTGTGACAGCTGACGGCAATTTCGTCCGACTTGTGTCTGACATACACACATAATGAAGAAATAAACATTACGCATGAGATAACGACACACAATTACTGTTGCTACTCAAAGTTTAATCAAAATTATGATAATTTAGTCTCAATGTAGATCATTTGAGTTAAATTCGATATCAAGTGATCAAGTCATAAATAGAACCTTGATACAGGTTGTCGAGAACGTGCTAAAAACAACAATCTGGTGATTATTTACGAGAGAATGACCGCTCAAATATTAATTTGGTTTTCTAAGGATATCGTGAAGGACTTTGCATGACTTTTAATCAAAATCTACTAACACGATGCTATTTCGGCTTCTATTATTATTTCTTTTCTTTTCTTAAATAAAGGTTGAATTGATTTCAGTCGACTTACTTGTCGTGAGAGTCGTAAAGATACCCAATGTATATATAAATGTATATAAAAAAACAGTGACGAGAAAGTAAGATAGATAGTGTATATTTTCGGACATTGTCGCTCAAAACAACTGATCATTTAATAAAAAATTCATTTTTTACACTCGAACTATTCTCTGAAAAATCATTCAAATTCTCATTTATTTTTGAGATTAGCCGTAATCTTGCTTATAGATAAAATCCAATAAGTAAATAAATCATGTAGATAGAATAAAGCCCACATGTAATGCACGTATGCGGCCAAAAATTCTAAATTTAGAAGAAATACGCCAAAGTAATAGAAGTGCAATAAACATTTTTTTTTCTTTCAAGTAGCTCTACAGTAGCATTCCTATTCTTGAATTTTATTTTATGTGTAGCCACAAAAATAAAATAACTATTCAATCACGTTTCATTCATTTTTCGAATGATTTTTGACGTCATTCGTCATGAAAAACATCTGAGGCGAACAAGCAGTTCACGGAAAAATGTAGGGAAATCACAGAAATTTTTTTAAACAAACAAATTAGCGTGTAATTTACAAATATTTTATCAGGAAAAAGTTTGTTCAACATTGCGTCGGATCAAATTAATTAACGGTTTTTTGAGATTTAAATGAACTGAACTGATTTTATAAGTAAACCGAACTGAAATGAAGTGTGAATTAATGAATAGTCTAGCGATTTTTTAAATTAAAATGAACTGAACTGAAACAAACTGAGTTACTGAACGATCTTTCATGTTTCTCGGCTTCAAAAGCACGTGATTCTACTTTAATTAAGCTACTTTCACGAGGAAACAAAATTTTAGCAAATTAACGACTATTTTATGATGCCGGAAAAATCTAAAAAATATAGCTTTAGTATTGTCACGACTAATACTTCATTTCCAGTGACTAGTGACCTTAATTTGCCAAAATTTTACTCATCAAAGCGTTTCACAAAAGTAGCACCTTGCAGGAACGTCGAAATCATTTAAAGCTCATGTTGTTGCCTTGTCTCTATGTTTTTTAGGTTATCAGAATACTGAAATATTCTGGCAATATATAATATACAACAAGAAATGAAAAGAAAAATCACGAGTGTAAGACACGATTCTTAATTCATTGCTAATTAACAAGTTCATACTGCTGATAGCAACAAAGAAACAAAACAACAAAAAAAAAATCCAACCGTTTGCCTCTACAATTATATTAATATATGAAAAAAATGAAAGTTTAAATATTATTCCATTATGTGTAGCAAAATAGTAAATTCTGCTGCTTAAACAAAGAAACTAGTTTGATCGTGGACACACATGATCGATTTGAGCGCATTTTCATCGCAAGAATCAAAGGATATAATTTTGAAGATAAAAAAATTGAAAAAATAACGATCAGAAAATTTGAAAACTACGTACGTAATTTACATAACGTAAGCCACTTGGAAATATCTGGCTAATTTCAACAGAGCACGTAATAGAATGGAAACAGACAGACAAAGCGCGACATTCATTTCTATTGTAAAGCACTAAAAAATACGAAGAAAAATGAGCGAGAAACAAAAAAACTGGATTTGCAGCCTCCTTGCAAGGTCGATTTAGAACGAAGCAGCTTAAGTAATATGATTTCGATCGTTGCTCTTGCGAATAGACTGTATATGTGATATTTGATCATCAAGAATGTTTAAATATTATTCAACTTGTCGAGCTTTGTCATTTTATTGTTATTATTTAGGTATTTACGTGAGAGACGAGAGACTATCACACGATTCTGACTTGACTTCTTCTTCTATGCATGTTCGCTGTATATAAACTTTCAACTTACCCCATAATTCCACGTCCATATTGAAAGTTAAGTGGTCTCCATGGATATCCACCGTGCTTTCCGACTAATTTCGCCTGATATTTGTTCATATTGTAGGTAGATGCTTTATTATCATTCGTACTTCCTTTCCTTCTCGTTGGATTAAAGGTTTTCTCGATTGGGAAATTATTGTTTGATGTGTTGCTATCGTTTGACTTTGTATCCGAATTGTTGCCATTATTATTCGTCAATTGTTGTTGTTGCAATAATTGTTGCTGAAATTCCTGATGTGTCCCAAAAAAATTGAAGGAAATACAAAGGAACAAGAAGAAGAGGAAAGTAAATGTTAGTTTAACACAAAAACAACATTTGAGGTATGGACGAAAAGCTTTTCTGTATTGAAAATGCGCTAATGTGTAGCTATGACTGTAAACATCTTCAAACTTCTTTATCACTGGATGTTTTTTTTTTGAGAGTACAAATTCCAGTGTACTTGAAATACTGTTTTTATCAAGTTGTGGACGTAATTTCCTCACTTTTACGGCCAGACTCATCGAGTTCCGACTAGCTTTTACGCAGTTAAATGCGAAAAATTCCTTACCATTTCAGCCGTTTCCCAGATATTCGACCAAATTCGCTTTGATTCTCCTAATTGCTCTTCCTGATACCAAGATACAGATAAATCCATCACAAGACTCTCTTTTTTAATGCAATAAGATTAGTTATATCTCACTTAGTCTCAATTCAAGGTTCCTTTATGTACTATTATATTCTTTTTCACGATAAAAAATACGATTATTCAAAAGCAATGGAATTTAATTATATTATTTTCACGATTATTGCCTATTTGACTCGATTTTTTCACTTATATTCACAGACTTGTCTTATAAAAGATTAATTATAATTATCACATTGAGAAAATTCTCTCTTTTTAATATTTATTTATGGTATATCCGCAAAATAATTAATGATTGATTGGTAAATTAACTTAAAGTTCCAAGAATGAGATATATAAAGTCACAAGCGTTTAATTTCACAATTTTATTCGCGAAGAAAATGTCTCTGGCAAATTTTCCTTCCTTTTTTTTAAAAGACACACTCACGCAATCTACGAAAATTCTAGATTTTTCACCATAATCCAAATAATATTTAATTATATTACTAAAACTTGTTATTATAATCAGCTTAGAATAGACTTTTTATATTTTCTGATGTTTTAATATAATTAATCCCACGAAATTTACCAAAAAATGAATTTAAATCGCAGAATATTTCTAGGGTGAACTTCGTTGTTTTAAGCCTTACTACTTTTTGTAGGGTTGAGTACGGATTGTTTAGGGCTAGTTCCAATAATTTTTTTGAATTCTGTATTTTTTATCACTTTAACTACTAATTCCTTAATAATTGTCCAATCCTTCAATTGAATCACTTTCTTAATGTCTTTATCAAGCAAGTTGACACTTAATATTGCTTAATTAACGCTGAGAAACAGTTATCTCAAAAAATAATTAACAATCAACGTTATTACAAAAGGGCGAATCCCACGAAAACGTAATTTTCTATTTGACTCTTTTTTTGATTTGTTTGAATTTTCAAAAACCAGTAATTTTTTTTCAATGTTTCTTTGTTTATAATATGTCAAAAAATTTCATTAATTAACTTTACATGATTTCTCTTGCACAACAAGCAACTTATTATGAACAATTAGCTATATCATGTAAAGCTGTGATGGAATTTTGAAGAGTAAGGTAAATATTGACGTGTAATAAAGCAAACTTAATAAATCCTCAGAAATTAATCTCTGTGCCTTATCAATGAGAACCAAATTTAGTAAGCTAGAGTCAGAGCTAGAAGTCGAAAAAGTTTAAGCCGTTTTTAAATTCTGTATTAGACTTAAATTTATCAAACATATTTCTCAATCGGTTTTCAAAAATTCAAAAAATACAAATTTGCTTTCAAATTTTTGAATGTGTTTTTCAAATTTATAACGGTTTTTTATTAGCTTATGACAACAAAAACGTGCTTAATGAACCATCATGAATAAGACTTGACACCATGCGACCTCTGGACTTGGCTAAATTGCATTGCTTCTCTTCTTATTCGTGTGATTTTCCGTTATCAGTAAATTATCATTTATAACGACAAAAATACAGGCTGTATCTCAGATATTTTTGTCAGTCTAATTCCAACGGCTGTCGAGTGCTGTTTAAATCGATTTTTCTTTGCTTCTTTTGTAAGGAGGCTCGTCATACTATACATTCTCTACCTCGTGACGTAATTATTTGTTTATATTCTCGCTCAATACACCGAAAAAAACGAAAATAAAAATAAAAAAATTATTAATGTACAAATACTGTATTAAGCTAATGATTCGTTAGTGATTTTAATTCGTTCGACAAGCAATGAGTGCGACAGAACAGACAAAATTAATCGGTGTTATTGACGCTGGCAGTAATTCAGTTAAATTTGTGATTTATCAAATTCCTAATTTTAATCAAGTATGTGCACATGAAATTGACATTAAACAGATATCACCAAAAGAAGGATTTCTCGAGCATGATCCAGAAGAGATTATTAGTGCTGTTAGGGAATCAGCGAAAGTTGCATTGCATCTCTTACCAAATTATGGCTTTACCAAAGATAATATTTACACAATTGGAATAACAAATCAACGAGAAACGACAGTCCTGTGGAACAAGAAAACAGGAAAACCCTTGTATAATGCCATAGGTAGGAACGAGAGATATTTTATTTTTTTTTTTTATTTGGCACTGATCTTTCTCAATTCTTGACCGTGATTTTTTTTATCATTTAACTTACATTCCGTTTCTCTTTATTTTGTGCATGTGTGCATCCCTTACTCATCATCATCATAATCCATCTTTTAGTATGGAAAGATACAAGAACAACGTCATCAGTTGACGAGATTATGGAGAAATTGTCTGTCGATCAGGATCATTTTCGAGAGATTTCAGGACTTCCCATTTCCTCGTTCGGATCAGCTTTAAAAATTCGCTGGCTTAAGCGTTTTGTGCCACAAGTTCGTGACGCGTGTCGTGATGGATTATGTTTATTTGGAACTGTAGACACATGGATTATATGGAACCTAATACGGGGTCTTCACATTACAGACTGTACAAATGCATCGAGAACTCTTTTAATGAATCTACAAACACTTAATTGGGATCCGCAGCTATGCTTAGCATTTTCAATTGATGAAAAAATCTTGCCTGAAATAAGAAGCTCATCTGAGGTTTATGGAAAAATTAACGATAATAGTGATCTTGATGGATTAATAATTAGTTCAATAATTGGAAATCAACAAGCCTCATTAGTAGGTCAATTATGCTTTAAAACAGGACAAGCTAAAAGTACTTATCGTTCAGGATGCTTCTTATTATGTAATATTGGAAATAAGCCAGTCTTTTCACATCATGGCTTAGTCACGACTGTTGCATATAAATTTGGAAAGAACAAACCGGTTTATGCATTAGAAGGGAACATTGCTATTGCCGGAACTGCCTTAAAATGGATTAAAGACAATTTAAAGCTTATGAAAGATACGTCAGAATCGGAAATTTTAGGTAGCGTTGTACCTACAACGGGCGATTGCTATTTTGTACCGGCTTTTAGAGGATTATTTGCTCCATATTATCAGAAAGAAGCTAGAGGGTAAGATAACAAAATTCCTTCTACCTTAATTATTATTTCACTAAATGATTAGTGACTTATCTTATCAATCCTGACATTTAGTAATGAAAAAGTACAAATTATATCCAATTAACATCACTCGTTATTCATTTAGTGCCATAATTTTCTTGATTGCAGCGTAATCTGTGGTTTGACAGCTTTTACAACCAAAAATCATATCATTCGAGCGTCTTTGGAGACTGTATGCTATCAAGTTAGTGATATAATTGAGGCTATGAAAAAGGATGCCGACATTCATTTGACAAAACTTCATGTTGATGGAAAGATGGCTGATAACAATTTATTGATGCAATTACAGGCTGATTTAAGCGGAATTCCCATATGTAAATATGCTGAGGTTTATTTTATTGAATGACGTCTATAAAAACATAAATTTAAGACTATAGACTCGATTCCTTTTCTTATGGCGGGTATAAGGTTCTTATTAAAGATCAATCCGTTGTCAGATCAGATCTCCCCCTAAAATCACTATACATTATTTATAAACCCCCAATACATGCTTAATCATCTCTAATCAAATTTCTCGTCATTTATTATAGTACGTTCCTTATCAGAAGACACTACAAGTCTAGGATGTGCAATAGCAGCAGCAAAGGGTGTTGATCTCATCGATTTACGTCCAGAGAATCGCGTCTATTCAGTTAAAGTTCATCATGACACATACTTGCCTACAACAACAGCTGAAGATCGTCGTGCGAGAATTAAAAAGTGGAAGATGGCTGTTGAAAGAAGTTATGGATGGGTTGAGCATAAGAGAAGTGAAGAAATGACTAATGAGCGCTATGAATTGCTATCGTCCATACCGTTCACACTCTTCCTTACAAGCTCATTCTTTCTATTAGCAGCTTCGGAAATTTTTAAGTGAATATCACTGTGATTGAATTTTGTGGCCATTGAATCCAGTCAGAAAGTGTTTGGGGGATGAAAAAAGAAATATTAGAGTTCAAAAGGTGTTATGAATCGATATTTTAAAAAATAATTAAATAGCTTTAGTTGTATCAAGAGACTTAACATATTGGTTGTTCCTGTGCATAAAATTCATAAATCTGTGAATGGATTGCACTTACTAGCGCATTTTCTCAGGAAGAATAAAGCTGTTTTAATCAATCAGTTATTGGTCCGTACTCCGAAATGACTTGCCTGCTCTATGACGTGCTACGTGGGTAAGTTCTTCGTTGCAATTCAACTATATTTTAACCGTTATTTTTTGAATGAGATTTTTCATAAAATTTGAATTTATTAAGGCCGTTAAATAAGTAATTCAATTCAGCCTTATTCTATGCTGTAGAAATGTGCTTCCATAGGTCGCAAGTGACCAAGACTTCATAGTTTTAGTAAGCGGGTACGCAATTTTATGTTTTTCAAAATATTATTTATTCATTTAAGTTTTTTTTCTCCAAATTTTGCATCAATTATTCTTACAAGTTTCTGTCTATATACTTTTATTAATATTTTGTTATTATTTGTTGACTTAAATGGAAAAAGTTGTTTACAAGTCATCCAAAAAATAAAAAATTGTTTATTAACTTTCAAAAAAAATTGAAGCCAAAAAAAGATGAAAAAATAAATAAGAAAACGTGTTCACACAGTTGATGATAAGGTGTAATTCCATAAATGCAAAGTTCAACTTTTAATTCGTAAAATTATTTTCATTTCAGTCTAATTGTTTTTTTATTTCTTATTTCGTTCAAACAAGAAGAAAAGACGTAAAATATATCAATTTTGTATTAAGGTTTAAAGTCCATTGACTCGAAAATATTTGTCTGCGCCTCATCTATAAACTATATTATTTAATTTTATTATCATTATTCATTCTATCATCAACAAGATATTAAATTTCACTTTTTTTTTACTTTATGATATCAATTATAGTGTCTATTTACAACATTTCCTTGCATGACAATCGATGACGATGCGCGAAATTTGAATCTCATAGCTTATGGTCATCGACTGGGTTGCAATTGCTATCTAATTTTTAATACTGTTAGCGGCAAAAATGTCACGTGATCGTTGCTTATTTTTGACAAGATCTTGTAAATTTTATATGCAAACTAATGCTCTTTTCTAAATTTGATTTGTGCAATTCCGGAGAGATTTAATGCTTAATAATAATAATAATAATGTGTGAAGGGCCCAGCTTTTCAGCTGGAGGCACTGCGATTCAAATTAGAACAGAATCTATTGTACCACACCCTTTAGACCTACAATTTATAGTGGGATCCGAACCACTTGCAATCTCAGCACATTGCAAAGACACGAGTACGTCATAAGACCTAATGTACCCTGCAATATACCTAGTCACAATTCGTGTGCGCAAGATGCCATAAGGAAGTCATCCAGATGCTAGTATATCCTTGTATACCTAGCAAAGGAGGCAGATTCTGTGCCAAAGATCTTAAAACTACACCCAACACACGAACCAAGTTTCGTAACTAGAACGGTGAAATGCTTAACTTTTGGTCAAAATTTGATTAATTTAACGCATTTTTAATGTTCAGATTTAATTTTTTTATAACTTAAAACATAACGGTTTTTTAAAATTCAAATGAACTGAACTGACATGAACTTAAACTACTGAATGACTTTCACATTTGAATTTTTAACGGTTTTTGAATGTAAGTTTCGAGAATGTGATAGATTTTTCTATTTTATCAAAGGAACTAATCATAAGCTTATCAATCACTTTACAAGTAATTTAAGGTTTAAAATAAACAAAGAAATCAATTAGTCATAAAAAACTTGAACAAAATTAAAACAATTCACAATTTGATTGCAAGAATATCTCGCAAGTAAGCAATAAATGACGTCATGGAAATGCACTTTTCGCGTTAAATTGTAAGTTTAATACTATTAGATGACTTGTTTCTTTGTTTGACAAATTTTTGGCACGAAAAACTTGAACAATTTTTAAATTTATTATTTCTCGATTATTAAATGCAGCATTAACATGAATTTTGACATTCATGTTCGATTTTTTTTAACAAAATAATTGCTTATTAAAGCTCAACAATGAATAGGAAATTTGAATAATTTTTTTGTGATTTTTTGAACGTTTCTTTTCTTCAGATTTTTAAAGAATTTAAAGTTTTGCATTTATTGGAAGAAAGCAGAAATTTCAAAAATTTTAATTTAATTGTTTTTGGAAAAGCTTAAATGTCAAGGAGCTATTTATTGAAGATTCCTTGACATTTAGCGATCGACTGCTAGATTAATCGAATACAATGTGGATATGTTAATTACTTATTGTGCTTACACGATCTAAATTCATATCCCATGAATTTCTTATCGGTCCGCATCCTATTACATTCTCAATTCCATTCGTTAACATATGTCCAAGTTGCTGTTGAAACAGCAAGTCATGTTCACTACGACTATTAATTTTATGCTTCTCAAAATGAAAATCTGCCTTCGTTAATTCCAAATTGGCAATAGATTTACGATGATTAAATTGCGTTTGATATAATAATGGAATTTGGTCTGTACGATGTAGACCATTTGAGCTAGCAAGGACTAAAGATGACTCAGTGTTGGAGTTCAAGAAGAGCTGATTAAGCAAATTTTTATTGTTCTTCATGTTCTTGCTGTCTTTTCGAGCCAACTGATTATTATTATCCTCGTCTGTCTCTTCCTGCTCATTTGCTGCATTTTCTATTTGCTCGACTTCATAGAAATGCTTCATAAATGGAAGAATGTTTCGTGACTTCAGCAAAATGCTCCAGTTCTACAAAAAAGGTTAAGTTTTTGAAAAACCGTTAAAAATTTGAATTTTGAAAACATAAAATTTGAATTTGTAACAGCTTTTAAAATTTGAATCTAAAAAAATCCGTTAGAAAATAATTAACTTAGTGCCTTCAAAAAGCAGCAATACTTACCAAAATATTATACAGTATCGCAAAGACTGTAGGAAATGCATACGATTGTATATTTTCTAAAGCTACAACACCAATGAACCAGCATATTGCAAATACTGGCTGAAAAAACAATGAGAACCTGTCGAAACAAGAGAGAAAGTATAGGAGATGTTAAGGGTTGTGTCACGAAAAATAGAAAAAAATTAAATCTCACTTTGTAGCATTCTTGAAATTTGTATAATCACAACTGTTACTTGTTGTTGACGATGAGTCAGATAAATCTGCCAATGACAGCTGACCCAAATCAAATTTAGAGTCATACAAATCTGTTTTTGATTTAAAAAAATTATCATCGTGCGCCTATAAACAAAGAAGGATGGAAGGTCAAGTTTGACATCATTAGAATAAGAATTCAGAAGAAATTTACATGATCATCACAGCATTTGAGCTGCTGAGTTGTGAATGTTGACGTCTTCATGTAATAACTCGCTAAAATCTCTTTATCGCTGATACATTTGTCAAGATTCTGTCCGTTATTCATAATCGTACCAACTCCATTGCTTGTCGAGTCTAAAATATCACGATTTTTATCTTTGATGTGCTTCAGACAAATTGTGCCGAGGATTGTTGTAAATACGATAAGTAGGAATATTGGTATGAGAAAGTTAATTATCATGTTTTTATGGATAGACATGAAGCAGTATTTTTGGTATTCTAAACTGTTGGATGCTGCGGCATAGGAGAACTAGAGCGAGAAGATAAAAGTTAAATCGAGCATTGTTAATTAAATTTATTGCTTATTATCTAGGGCATATGTTTTGTGGTCGTTAATACTTTAAGCGCAGTTTTGAATGCCTGACTCTGTGTCCTGAATTTAGTGAACTGTTCAGAAAAACGTTCATTTCATTTCAGTTCATTTATGAGATTTGAATTTTTGAAAACTGTTTAAATTTCAAGCTATGAAAAATGCACTTTATCAGCTTTAGCAAGCGTTTTGTGGCACTTTCAAGCCATTTCCAACATTATTATCATCACCACATACTTATAAAACTCACCATGACATAAATAGCTGGCCCAACATATGCTATTAAGAGAATAAATCTCATTTTAAGCCGCAAATATTCATTAATTATTAAATCGTAGATGATTGCAATGAATACAAAGCACCAAACGCTCGTTGTTAAGTATAAATAATGCAAGACTAGAGCAATCATCTCACATCTCAAAGGATTTTTATTTGAGTGAACGCCAATGATGAAGAGAAGATTTGACAAGAACAGCATAATCAGGAGATTCATAGTGATTGGAAAGAAGGCATTTGATTTACGTAATCGTCGATTGCGAAGTGTGACAAGGATGATGGTGAGGATTTGAGCACCGATAGCAAAACATGCTCCAATTATTACAATTCGTCTACCTAGATCCTGCCAACTTCTCGGACTCTTTCCGTAATAATAGATGAACATGATGGAATCGATGAAGTCATGTCCCTGTGGATGGAATTGACACAATTGCAAATTTTAGGAATTGGAATAAATCTTTGGATTAAATTAAAACCACTGGATTAAGGTTTAACCAGAAGTTTTTGAGCTTATTTAATAAGATTAAAGTTCAGTCACTCACATTTAAATCCTCATTATTTAAATCTTGCGACTGATTGTTCCTCAATCTTTCCTTCCTTGACTGCCGTACACGAGTAGTGTCTAAAAACAGCACAAAGTCATAAAAAATTCATTTCCAAGTCCATTCAACTTACAAATTTTGATAAGAGTCTCATCATGTCGATCCCCAAACCTAGTTTTATTCAGCAGTCGTCGATGGAAAATTTCTGGATCTGGATAAATTTCCAAATTATCATCTTGCTGTTGTTTCGTCTCATCAGGCGTCTTTATCTCGTCTGACAAGACATTTTTGGTCAAATCATAATCAAAATCTGGTGATGCTGATTTGTTAAAGTCATTTATATATTTGCTCGAATATCCTTTTGATTTGGTCGCTGTGTGTGTTGAAAAAAAGGTACTCATTAATTTTTATTGGACAGTCAGAGTCGTCATTAAAGGTTTCATTTACCTCCAAACACAAAAATAATGCACAAAAGCTTCACAATTAGAAATAAAAAAGCTTTCATATTAAACTTTATTGCTTTTTGCAAACTTAAAAGGCCAATAATTAAGTTAATTGTTGGTGCTGGAAGCCACAGAATAATTTTGAAAATCGCACAATCTTTTCACATACGCCATGTTCAATTTTCACTTTGACACAAAAAAAGCAGCAGTAGGAACGGAGAACAAAAAAAAAGGCAAAGAAATTTTCTTCTCTCAAAAGCAGATTTTTTCGTGAGGATAAAAGCTTGTTGAAGGAAAGATATTTATTGTGGGATGGGGGATGTATGGATGCTGGCATTGAAAATTTCATGTTTTTCTCTTTCTCATCTAATTTTTCTCTCTTCAACACTACTTGCTTGTATGCATATCTCTCACATTCATATCAGACTGTTTCATATTTCATACTTTTTTCAATTATTTCCTTTCAACTCTTGAATGAATTTGTGCTCTTTTTTTAAATCTGGATTGAAATTATAATTTTTGAATTTTTAACGACTTTATAGGATTTGAATTGACTGCTTTTGAACAAATATGTTGAAATTGTAAAAATTTAAATCGCTTAAAAACTTTTACAATCTATGAAATCTCTAACTGAATGTAAAGTATATTGAACTAATGAGTTTGTTTTTAATGACTATTGACTTCAGTTAATGAACAAACATTCGCTAAAACAAATTAAGATAAAGTACAAAAAACTTTGTGTGCATTCAGCAAAAAATTCTCAGCATATTTTTTGAATTCTTTTAAAACGTTAAATCCGACAAATTTTATTTCATTTTCAAGCTTAATGAGTATATACTAGCTTAGCGTTTTTCTACATAACAAACTTTTGTTTCTATACATGACATGTGATTTTTTTGTTGACATCAGAAATGGCAAATGTGAAAATAAATTTATTAATAAATAAGCCAAAATACTCGGCGCATATAGAGGAAAGTAATAGCAGAATCTTCACAACAGGCGAGGTCATTACAGAGCAAAAGGATTTCATGAGGTATGTACAAAAATCTAGAAATATTTACAAAAATGTGCAAACATTTAGAAACGAATTTTATTTTTATTATTATTTATTTGTCGACCTTACCTTCCGGAAGAATTAGTATTTATACATGTTTTACTTTTTACATTGATTAGTGATACATTTCATATCACTATGGGTGACGTAGAATCAAGCTTCTAATCTTCAAATCTAGGTTTCGATTAAATTCAGGCTCTCGTTTAAATCTTCTGTGGGCGTGACGTGATACATTTCAGGTCCGTTCTGACAATAATTATAAGGAAATCTTGTAGCTCTCGTTCCTATTTCTCCCGCTACACTTCAAGTTCCTGACCCGTTCCTTAATCCAACGTTGCCCAAAATGCCCAATTAAGGCTTGATCTCGTACATTAAGCAGTCGAAGTATCTAAACTTCTGAAAAAGAACAAATTTGAAAATGGCTGGATTCGACCCGACGACCTTCGAGTTACCATTACCAAATTTGAGCCAAGCGCCTTACCTTTTCGACCAGCAAGGCACTTAACTGCTAATTTATTTACTCATTTTAGAGGACATGGAACTTATCTGGAAGACGGTTTTATCAAATCATCAGTCGTTGGAGTAGCAAAGCAGATTAATAAGCTTATATCAGTCGTTCCATTAAAAAGTAAATATGTAGGGGAGATAGGCGACGTTATTGTTGGACGAGTCACAGAAATATCAAAGAAGCGATGGAAAATAGACACTAATTCTAGACTTGATTCAGTCCTACTAATCTCATCTATTAACCTTCCCGGCGGTGAGCTACGACGAAGAAATGCTGAAGATGAACAAAGTATGAGAAAATTGCTGCAAGAAGAGGATTTATTGTCTGCGGAAGTACAAAACGTCTATACCGACGGAAGTTTATCATTACACACGAGAAGTTTAAAGTATGGAAAATTGTCACAAGGAATTTTAATATCAGTTTCACCTTCTTTAATTAAGCGACGTAAAAATCACTTTCACAACCTTCCATGTGGTATTTCAGTCATTATTGGCAATAATGGATACATTTGGGTAGCACCAATTGTCAATGTTGAGGAACAAGGTGGTGGATTTGCTCAATGTTTAGATCCAGTCTCAAAAGGTGACCGAGAAACAATTGTAAGAGTCAAAAACTGCATTCAAGCCTTATCAGCATGTTATGTTATGATTTATGATACAAGCATTATGTACGCTTATGAAGAATCTATGAAATATGATGTAAAAGAACTTCTCAATCAAGATACAATGTATGAAGTTGGATTTAATGCTAAACAGAGAATTTTACAGCTGGAATAAAGATGTTTTTTCTAAGAAATTAATTTATTGGGTTTTGGAGTGCCTATTAAAATAACGAATTTTAAAATTTCGAAACTTCATTTAAAAATGATATGGTCGTAAAAATGAAGTTTCGAAATTTTTTTAAATTCGTTATTTTAATAGGCACTCTGGAGTTTGACTTATTGAATTTTGATCATCTGCTGTTGCTCAAAAACCCGTTATTTTTAAAGTTTTGAAATTTTGAATCCGTTTACAGTTTAAACATTTTTTGACAGTTAAATTTCAAAATTACACTCAAAACCCTTGTAAGACTTGAAAAACAACAGTCACTAAGCAAATAATCAGGTTCTCATTAATAATTGTAATTTTTTTTTATTCTTCTTCTCATGTAAACTAAGAAAAGATTACACATAAGATAAATTACTTAATGTGATATTAACAATTCTATACATTTGTTGATTACATTCATTAAAAAGGAATCTGCAATAATAAAACTATTTCCATTGATTTGGGTAGATAAGGTAAGGTGGATGAATCAATAAATTAAATTAAAACTGTCTTTTACACAATTCAATGACTTCCTATTGTAAGAATTAGCATATAATAAAACTTAAGGACTTCTAAAGGTTAAAATTTTTCTAAGTTTTCAAACTTTTTTCATTCTTTGGATTGCATGAGGAGTTAAATTAAATTTTCGTATGCTTTTAAAAACCTAATATGTGTGTAATGTCTGTACTCGTTGTGTTTTTGAGAAAATTGCCTTTGGCACGACACTACTGATGGAATTAACCTTTTTTGAGACTATCTATCACACATTATATTCTAAAATATAGTTAAATTTATTTTAAAAGGATTTGAATTTTAGCGCACTTTTCCATACTTGCTGTTGACTGTTATTTTTCAAATATATTCTGACTGTTATTATTTGAAAAACGTTTGACAGTTGATATTTAAATATTTTTTGACAGTTATTTCTCAGCAGTTATTGTGTGTGTGTGAAATTACGCTTCTGTTGTCCACTAATGACCATGTCTATTCTAATTTTTTCCTGTGCTCGTTTCAATTTAGTAAATTTTTATAGTTTGCAGACAATAAAATTGAAAAAGATTCATTCATAAATTGTGTTCAGATAACTTCATATTCTTATTTTCGTTTCGTCGAGTTCTCAGAATTCAGTCTCAAACTTCTCTTGTAACTCTTTTTTTTGTGAAATTCACTCGAAATGAACAATTCATTTATCGCCTTTTTCAGTCAGTCAGTCTGAGCATAAATAAGTAAATTTTTTGCATTGAATTACATTAAATTATTTACAAACTACTCATTTTTTCTATACAAATATGATTATGCATGATTTCTAAGCTTAACGTTTTCTTATCAAATTGCTAACAGTTCTAATATTCCTGCTCAGTTCATTCTCGTTAATTTCTCGATCAACGTTCGCTTTTAGCTGTTTCAAGCTTGGCAAACTCTTGCTGTCTTTAATGTTTAATAGTTTCGAGAAGACGTCAGTCCACAAAGTTTTATTGAGATATCTGTTAAGAATACAAACATTAGTCTCAAAAATGATTAGCATGTGACTGTCGCTTACCTTGGGAATTTCTGCTTTATATCCCAAACACCGAATTTCTTGTTTACTTGCATGTATTCTCCAAACAGCATAACATGAATAGTGCCTGCAATGCAGAACAAATCTGTTTGGTACGACCACAATCTAGCTTCGCGCATTTCAACGCACGTAAATCCATCAGTTTCAATTATCTAAATAGAACAACAGTTAATTCATAGAATCAATTTTATAGACATCGAGTTTTACCTTTCTAAATTCTTGACCTTCCTTAAAAAGTGTCATGTCAATTGCACATCCGAAATCAATGAGTCTAAGACTCGGAATATGAGTATCCATCGATGGTCTACAAGACAATAGAACAATAATTAAATCGAAGAAATCACAAGTTCGTCATCAAACTTACAAAGTCATAAGTAAAAAGTTGTCAGGCTTAATATCAGCATGGATAATCTTACAGTCGTGCAAATGAGCTACAATATTAAAAATTTGACTCGTAAAGTGCATCACTAAACTCTCATGCATGACTTTTGTCGTGGCTTGACGAACGCGATTGTTTATGTCAAGCAGAGATCCATATTGAGAGAATTCTGATATTAATACGCTTGCATTTGGTGCTATTACAGCAGCAGTAATTGTCATGAATCCAGGGAGCTAATTAAGGAGCATAGAATATCACGTATTTGTTTAAAAATGTATAAAATTCAGTTATAACTTACGATATCAGCACTTTTGATTCGCTTTTTGACTTCTGTGCAAATATAAAGCTCCCATGTTGCCATATTTGATGGTCTTTGATATTTGAGAGCCACAACAGTTCCGTCAGTTGTATTAATTCCACTAAGAAATAATCAAAATTTTAGCAATTTTTTAAATTCAAAATTTGAACTGAACTGAAACGAACTACTGGATTACAGAACAAAAAAAACTAAAATTCAAATTAAAGAAGTGATCGAAAAATCGATTACAAGATTTGACGCTCCATAACAGAGTGAGTTAAATAAAAGCGTGTAAAAAGTCCGCTAAAAAGTCATACCGATAAACAGCTCCATAAGATCCTCTTCCTACTTCCTTTTCAATCTGATAAGTAGCATCGCTAATCGGTACAATTTGATTTTTAATTATTTTTGGCAAGTTTGAACTTGTAACTAAATAGTCGGATGTATTTTCACGATTTGGGAAGTTTAATTTGACCAAGAATGCACGACACAATTCAGAATGGAAAGGATCAATATCTCGTTTCTTCATGTGATCATCAATAGTTGCTAATGCCTTTTCCATACGACGATTTTTAAAATCATCATCATTATCAGCTTGAAAGAAGGAATTTTGATCGCCACAGAATGAAGATCTGCTGTCATCATTAATATTCGATGAGAATGAACTTTGATTTTTAAGAAACTTATAGCTGCTTATTGGAGTCGATGTCTTACTAGCTGGTGGTTTTTTTATGGGCGTAATACATCCATTAAAGTTAATTTTACTGAATGAATGCTTCTGATTATCTCCATTTTGTGTAGATGAGCAGCTATTAGTTGCACTAGGCATGAATTGTGTATTTTCACCATCATATGATCTCACAATTTCTTTCTTGACTTGCTTCTTTTTAGCACTGCTGATTGACGACGATGTCGATGATGGCTCTAAAGGAACTTCCTTTATCTTGGCATTTGTTATCGACGAATTTGAATTTGATTCTGAATTTATGATTGTCGTTGTCTTTTCTTTACGGAACTTGATTGTTATCTTTTTGTCACGTGACTTGCCATTCGATGAGAAACTTATTGTACTGGCTTCAATCTGTTCCTCTAAATCATCTAGCATGTAAGACGTGACAATTGTTGGAATTTGTTCCGCTTCCTCTTCAATTTCTTCACTTTCACTGCCTTCATATTCATCTTGTGAGCTATTTTCATGCGATTCATTCTCAACAATTGGCTGTTGTAGCATATTTGGATCAATCTCAGCTTGATGATCTATTAAATATTCAACATCTTGATAATCAGAATCTTGGAAATTTGGTTTTTGAGACACATTTTGAGTTGGTTGTTGCTGAATATTAGTTAAAGGAGTATTTTGGTTTTGTGGCGGTGTTGGCTGGCTATAAGGATGCTGTATTTGTGGCTGTGCAAGATGATGTTGTGGCGGGGGCTGCATTTGATAATTCATTGTATGCTGTGCTTGATAATTCATATAATATTGCTGATGCATGACGGTCTGTTGATGATAATTTGGAGAATTTGAGTAGCTTTGTGGACTTTGTTGGTATGCAGCATAATGTGTTTGATATTGATGATCATGAGCATAGGAATATTGTGGACTATTTTGATAATTTTGGTGATAATAAGCATTAGCATAATTAGCTGGACTATGATGATAATTCCATCTTTGTTGTTGCTGCATTTGATATGCTTCTCTTTGTCTCTGAGCCTCTTGTTCTGCCTTCATATGCTGCTGTGCTTCCTGTTCCTTTCTAATTTGTTCCTCACGAAGTCTCCTCGCTTCAGCTTCTTGCCTTAATCTATCTTGTTCCTGTTTTATTTTTTTGAAAAGAATAACGGTTAAAAAATATTTGTAAAATAACGATCAAAACTTTTTTGAAATTTAAACGAGCAGAAATTTAAATAAAATAATAGCGGTTTCTATACCTGTCTTACTCTTTCTTGTTCGAGTCTAATTCGTTCTTGTTCTTGTCTTGCTTTTTCCTGTTCCTGTTTTATTCTTTCTTGCCTGATTCTTTCTTGTTCGAGACGAGCCCTTTCCTGTTCCTGACGAATTTTCTCATCATTTTCATGCTGTATTCTTAATTCTTCCTGTCTCCTTTTTTCTTCCATTCTTAAACGCCATTTATGACCTTTTAATTCTTCGAGACTATATTCACGTCCATCGCCAGGATAAACTAAATGTTTTGGATAGAAACATCGTCTATTCTGATCGTATGGCTCTTCGAGACATAATGGAGCATTCCACTGTTCATGCGAGTTTCGAGAGAAATTAATAAAGTTTTGTGGAATTTGAAAACCGCACTCGAATGTAAAATTTGTCGGTTGCTGAGCTTGCTGCTGTGCCTGTTCTTCTGAAGTTGGTGGATATACGTTAGAATTATCATAGACATAATTTAAGGATGAACTAATTGCATAAGCTGGATCATTTGAGTAGTTATTATAGTCTGGATATTGCTGGACATTAACATTAGTTGTATTTGGCATAGCATTCGAGCTTGTAGCTTGTTGTCCACTGTATTGCTCTTGTGAGTATGAATCAGTTCTCATTCGTTTGGCTGATATTTGATTTTGATGTGGCGATAATGACGTAATTTGTTGCCGTTGTTCCTCTAACGACGAAATTGTCCGTTTTTTTGAGGATTCATCATTATACAGCATACGTTGAGCCACAGAAAAGCGAAAATTCTTCTGAGCAGTCTCCAGTTCATATAAAGGTTCAGCCTTTAATTGTATTCCCAAATTGTAAATTGATTCTGCTTGCTTAAAATGATTAGCTGAGTTGTAGTAATGAGCCCAACCAATATAAAAAGCTGCAACTTTAGTTCCGACTCCTTGCTGATACAATATCTTATAAAGATTCAATGGATTCGGCTGGAAGTCGATCTAAAACAAATGAAATATTAATTATTGCCCCTATGCACTAAGCAAAATAGTAATTGAGAACCTACATATTTGATCCACAATTTGACCATTCGAAGATCCTGCTTGTAGTTTTCATACTTATCGTACATAGACAGACAATGCTCAACGGACTTTCGAAACTTTGATTCCAGCACTTGATACGACGACAAATTCGATTCCAGCCAGCAAACATAAGAAAACCATAGATCTAAAGGATCTTGACCAGTATAGGAATTGATTGCATGTTCCCATTGTCTATAAAAGCATAAACCGGTTAGATATCCTTGAAAAAATTAATAAAATTCACTTTCACTTACCCGATTTCATTTTGAAGCATAGACATTATCTCATTTGCTGGATTCATGCTGTCTTATTAGATTTTCCTCATCAATTTTATGTTCTAGTATCCTTCAGTCAGTCACTTGCTGGATTTATGGAATGAGAATGTTTAGAATGTTTTAAGAAATTTCCAGAAATTGATTTTTTTCACGTCTCAAATAAATTTTCATTAATGACTAATCGGACAAATCACAACAAAAACATAAAAATAGGACATAAAATCATATCAACAGAATTTCCCAAGGATAACAAATTTGATGAATCAGAAAAAATTATGTGCAACTTTTCATCGTCGAAAAAAACACTATTCTGGGTGATTTTTCAATAATATTTTTCTATCAACACATTTTTTACACTCGATATTACCTAAAACTAGCAAATTTTGTGGAGAAATTGCACGATTTAAGCCTTAAATTAATTAATTAAAAAATACAGAATTTTACTTGAAGGGGATACACTTTACTCAAAAAAATCATACTTGCTTTCCCCTTTGCGATGAAAAATTCAAATTTTTTTTCGTAACGACCTTTATGCTCACGCACACGTGCTCATAAATTTTTATGTTTTGAACAAAATTTAACTTTATTTTATAGTTTACTTGATACAATTTCATTTATCACGTGGTTCATAATTTATGACACTTTTTTTTATGCTTACTAATGCATGATCTATCGCCAGTTCTAAAGTTACAAGCAGCAAAGTCACATGCAAATGGTTTCAATCCTTTGTGGCTATTCAAATGCGAATCTAGCGTATGCTTAAATCCAAATGACTTGTTGCAAATTTCACACACAAATTTCTTTATTTTCTCATGTTGAACTCTTATGTGCTTTAATAAGGACGTACTGCTCGCCATCTAAATCATTAAATTATGATATAAAGAAACAGCTTTAAAAGAAACTGTGTCTATTTACCTGTTTTTTGCAGAATTGACAAATATTTGAATTTTTATGCTTGTGATGGTAATGAATGATTTTCTTCAATCCACGACAGTGCTTCTTGTGAACTCTCAATTCCGATTCAAATGTGAATCCTTGCTGACATTCTGTGCACCTTACTGGCGGTTCCACCAAATGTGCTCGATAAAGATGTAAATTTAGTCCAACTTGTGTCGAGTACTGAGCATTACAGTCTTCATAGGAGCAGACAAAGTTTCTAATCTTTAAATGAAATGATTTTATGTGCCGTTGAAGATTAATTTTAAACTTAGTGGTGTAACTGCATAAATCACAGACGTACGGATATGAATCAGTATGCTCTATTCGAAGGTGACTCTCAAGTAAATTTTTAAATCTAAACGACTTTCCACAAGTTGCTGTAAAAAACTTTAATTACTCTATGTAGATTAGAAAATATTCAAAACTAGCTTACAGCATAAGAATCTATATCCAAACTTATGATATCTCAAGTGTGACTCGAAGGAAATGGCAGTTTGCTTCTTAATATTGCATATTGGACATATTTTAGGATCATTATGATGATCTCGTCTAACATGGATGTCCTTTTCTGATATCAGGTCGAAATACTCGTTACAGATTAAGCATTCATAGTCATGTTCTTGTGGAACTTTTTGGTTCTTAGACTCAATTTTCAGTTTCTTAGATTTTCTACTGGATCTTCTTTTTGGTGTCTTAGTGTTAAATATTGTATTTTCCTTTTGATTTATCACAGCTGAATCTTCTTCAACATGCTTGGTATCATCAAATAAAACTTTGTTTTTTATAATATCATCACTAAGTAAGGAACGGACCTTAAAATCATAGGCAACGACTAAATTTTCTGAGCATAAAGAACATATTTTATGTGGAAATCCGTCAAACTCTGTTATCTATAATAAATGACATTATAAGAGCCTAATTAATCAATCAAGTAGCTTAGTTCCTTTACATGTAATCCAGTAACATTATTTATTTTCTCAGCATAATTTTTTTCGTCTTCTTTTGAAAAGATTTCAAACTTTAATAAATTTACATCGTTATTTAAACAAATTCTGCAAGTGTCTTCATAGTTTTTGGACATTTTTGAACACGTAGGACTTTTATAATTACTTCTAAACCATAATTAACAACGCATTAAGTCAGAAAAGTTAATCATAATTAAATGTCAAAATTTTAATTTTTTAAAAATCTGTGAAAATTGTTTACTTTTAAATTCAAATATTTTTTGACAGTTATTCAGCATGTCCAATCCACCAAAGAACTAGTGAATTTTCAATAATTTCCTCAGTTTTCTCATCGCAATCAATATCATTTCCATATTTAAATTGTCCAGAGCATGAAGCTAGAACGGGTAAATAAGGATGTAAACTTATTCCTGAGCATGCATCACTATGCAGTCCATATTGGCTCTCTTTTGGGAATTCATTTTCATCCAAGTCAAATAGACTCCATGCATGTACGATTCCTCTTGTGTCTCCAGATATCAACCAATTAGAATTGTACGATAAATCGAATTGAACTTTCTGGTTTGTGTCAACTCGTCTTGTAAATCTATAAAGAGGAAGTGATCGGTTCCTCAAATCCCACATTAGTAAATTTGAATCCTTCCGACTGCCTGATATAAGATAATCACCATTGCTTGAGAATTTCAAGTATGTCACGCCTTGTTTATGACCAATCAGTGTGTCTGTGACTAAATAATCACGACTATCAATTAAACTTATTGTCTTATTCCAACTTCCAGCTGCAATTTCACTGCTATAATAGTTTGATGCCATACATGAGGTAGCTTGTTTCAGAGGAATTGTATCATAATCTCTGCCTGGGACTGATGTGCTGAATACAACAATTCCTTTTTTCATGCCACCATATATTAAAGATCCATCTGGTGAAAAACAAACACTTAATGCTGCATCAAGCTCATCAGCATAATCGTATGCTCTATATGATGATTTGTAATTGCCATTGAATGCATCATACAGCTTTATAGGCTCATTTTGGCAGGTAGCTATAAAGTAGGTCGTCGTATCATCCATTGAATTTAAGACTGGATTAAAACAGAAATCATAAATGTTTGTACCACATTTAACTGTGATAACTGGCTTCAATTCATTAATGTCACGTTCTTTACTTATTGATTCCTTTCCATAAATATCCTGTGGAAGCTCAAATATCATCAAACCTTTAGCATTTACAGCTGTTAATAAACAGGTTCCATCCGCACTCCATGTTGCTCCTTGAAAATAATGCTGATTTGATGTGTTAGGTACTGTGATCTTTCCTAATTCCACTACTTCCTTCGTCTCAAAATAATGTTTCTCCTTCTCATTTAAAATCGCAACATAATCTTCTTTTTCTGCTGTTTCCTTGTCAATTTCCTTCATTTCTACATTCTCTGTCTCTTCCCTTTCAACTGTTTCATTCTGTTCAATTGTTGTTTCTTCTACTTCCATTTTTATTCCTTAGTTAAATCTTAACTTGATGGGAATACAATTAATTCGCCGGTTGTTTACAACTGGATCTGTTCAGAAATTTTGAAAGAGTTTGAATTCGATAAGCACGAGGTTTTTGAATTTAACAGTATTTTGCAAGAAATTAATATTAAGAAAACCTTTATAACAACACAGGAAAATTACAAGAGTCATTTGTTGAATATGACAGAAATATTATATGGAAAAATGAAAAAATTTGACTTCAGTAACCATTGAAAACTGTTGAAAAACAAATTTTCTTCAGTTATAACAATCAACGAAGCAGAGAAGATATTTCTAAGCAAAAGTTCAACAAAGATTAATTATCAGGGATTGCATCGGCATTGGAGATCAATTCACCGAAGACAAACTTGACCATAATACCTGATAATACCTCGTAAAAACTTTGCGAGTACAAAAATTTCACACACCAAAATGCAAACTCCAAAGGTTTCTTTGCCAGCATTGCATTCAACAAGGATAATTGCTAATGAGGTAACAGCATCAATACCTCAGAAGAAGTTATCGTCTTTAAAGATTTCGTGAAGCAAGATGTCAACCTCAAAGGTTTCTTCGTCAGCTTTACCTTCAAAAGGCTTATTACTAGAAAATAAGGTGTTATCAACAAAGAAAATGCCTCAGAAGAAGTTATCGTCGGAAAATATTCTGCAAAGCAAAATGCAGGCTATAAAGAATGCTTACGCAGCTTTGCTTTCGAAACAAATGTCGTCATCAAAGATGTATTCGAAAAAGATGAAATCAAAGAAAATCTCGGTCGTGAACAGCTTTCCATCGTGTTATCGTGGAATCACTTCGTCAAATTTGATTGTAAGTATACCATGCATTTATTGAGTTCGTCCTAGGAAAGCAATTGAACAGCTGAAAGTTTAGGCTTAATATGTGATTTTGGTTCAGTTCATTTCAATTAAATTTCCAGAATTCATTTCTGATTCTAGCAGTTTTGATAATTTATTTTAAAATTTCTTTCCTCTTTTTCCAGTTTTCTGATCCAAGAACTACAAAGTTGTATCGGGGATTCTTGATATATTTTGTAAATGAATCGTACTTACTTAAAGCAAACTTCCTAAATTACCTTAGCATTCAACTTGAGGTCGAGGACGTTGATTCCTATCGTCAAGAAATTGATCGATTCTTGGAGCGCCATCCAAACTTTAAAAAGTGACTCGAAGAATACAACAACTGACAAAGTCTGAGGAAACTAGCTGTAAGTCATTGCATCCTATATTTATTATTCTTTTGTTCCTTTAGGATTAAACTCATTCTGCACTTCGAAATGGATACAGTTGTTTGCTGGAGCATTTCCAGGACAGTCCATTTAAAATCAAGAAGGAGCTTTTAAGTTTTCTTGAAGTTTGGGATGAATTTTATGGCTGTCGAAATTTAAATTCTCAAAAACTCAAGATTCTTGCTAAATGTCCCGGACTCAAACGCGAATTCCTGGAAAACAATGTTTTGGTGCTAATGTCGAATCAATTGTTTGTTGCTTTTTGTCTTCGCCTGAATCCTGAATGGTATTCATTCAGTAAACATTTGCGTTTTAAGGTTCATTGCTGTCGTCAGAATTTGTTCTATCTCAATCGGTTTTTGAATCTTAATAATGCATATATGTTCATTTTTAAGTATGTCACATCGAGAAGTACAAATAGAAGCAGCCGTGTATGTTCAACTCTTTCAATCAAATCTTCTGGATTTATAAGGTCAGTGAAAAAAATGTATTAATTCACTCATAGAAAAAAAATCAAATATTCATCTTTTTGAATTTTATTTTAATATTATCAAAAATTGAATATTAGAAATTAAACAAAAAAATATTTGAAAATCAAGAAAAAATAAAATTTATTGTTTTAAATTTAAGAATTTGAATATTAGATTTTAAATTTTTACAATAATTGTTTTAAATTTTGTAAATTTCATCAAATTTTCAAATATTAGATTCTATTATTATAATATTAAAGTTTTCAGAATATTATTTGTGCAAGATTGAAAAATCTTAATTAAAATAAAGTTTTAAAAGTGTATTTCTATTGATAATATAGTGATTTTTGGTAATAGTTTCGACAAAAGTCACATTGATTTAGTTGGAAAGTGTTTAAAATATTCTTTAATCTATTCTATTTAGTAATCCTAAAGTTTTCATTTCAGTCTGTAGAAAATATGCAAGGACTTGATGCACTACAACTTATGAGTAAAACGAATTTAAAATGTTATCATAAAATATCAAATTATTATTTAATTCTTCATTTATCTTGAATGTTTACAGATCATCGTCAATGCTTAAAAGAATGAATTTACGTCTAATGTAGCTGAATATGATGAAAAGACTTAGGAAATGAAGACTTTTTTATGAAAAAATCGAATGTTTAACGTGACGAAAATTTAAAAAAAAAATTACAGAAGTCCTCGTGTTATTGATCGAGGGACTTAAGCGCATTTTTGTGTTGGCGATCAGGATTTGATTATTAAATTATTTTGCGTTCATTTACAGATCATGAGAAGATTAGAAGATCATTATTTTAGTGTAATTAGCAAATAATTACAATGAATGCTTATATAGAAAGGCTTTGTTATTTAACGGTCAAAAAATAATTTGAAATTTTCGGCTAAAAGTTGCACTACAAAAACATTACTTATAGTATAATTAATAATTTGTTGCAACGAATTTCCATATAGGAAAAGTTTAGTATTCAACGGTTTTTTAAAATTCAAATTTTACAACGGCCAGAAAAAATTTGAAATTATAGAGGTAATGTTGAAATTATAGAGATAAAATAAAATTTAAGCAGGTTACTTAAACAGGTCAAGACTTTTAACTGTTCGATCGGACAATTAACAAAAGTAACGGAGCTAATAAAACAAACTTGAGCTCTCTACCATGTCTGGTTAAAAAGTTTTTCTTCAGACGAACGAACAGCCGAACGAACGAACATTTCGCATTATTAAGTTCCCTTTTTGTATACAAGTATACAAAAATGCGCTAAAAAACTATGTTTGATTTCATTTATTAAAAATAAGCTGACCAACAAATGCTTTATTTACTAGATTCTAATATTTGAATATTTGTTTTGGTATGAATATAACCGTTATGTAATTTTATGAATCTATAATTAACGTAACGGAGGGGGTTAGTATAAAGGGTGGGGGGTCGTTCCAATTTGTCTTAACGTAGGGGGTAATTAGGAGGGGGGGGTTCTTGAGGTAGGGTAAGGGTTTATTTGTTTAAAAAGATTGACTGACTTAATTTAAATGTTGCATTAATCTTCTTTAAACAGGTTTACTAAACTTATTGGAAAAGTCTTTAGAGGGGAATGAGGGTGGGAATATCCATCAAAAAAGTAATTTCTGTCAATCTGTCTGTTCGTGTCCGTCCGTGATAAACTATTAATCTATTTCTTTTATAGCATTTACCTACCTTATTATTTTACTGAAAAATTGGACTTAGTCCAAACCATTCACAACAAATAATATCCAAACCAAGGGTTGTCATAACTAGAGTAAAAGCCCAATAAAGCCTTAACGAGAGCCAACATTCATGATTGATAGCCATGCCGTTCGGAATTACAGCTTGAGAATCAGTTTGTTTGGGGACGGAAAGTGCCAGTGGCGACGAAATTCGTTGACCTACTGTTGAGTAGACTAAATGGTAGCGCTTCTGGCAAGGTCTGCAACACCCTTAATGAGAGATGCATCACGGCATTTAATGTAACCCGGTGTATGTGTTTCGATAACAGCTTTTGCCATAGTTTAATAAACTTGACTATTTTGTTTGATGCAACTAGTTTTCTAACGACAGTTAATCGATTTAAGAAGGTGCGACCAGAAAAGAAAACGACTTATTTTAGTCTTTTATTTGGAGGGACACGTTCTGTTGACCTTCACGAGGTGAGTCCTGTGATCTTTTCTATTTCGATGGAAACAGAAGTTGTGAATTGGATTGGATAGTTTTAAAATTTAAAATCTTTGAGTTTCAATTTTTGTGACTCGTTTTTCAATTCTTGACATGTAAATTTTTCATCGTCAATTCTTGAAATGATCTTTTTATGTTCAATTCTTGAAATGTGAATTTTTCGTCATCAATTCTTGAAATGTTCTCAGCATTTAACATTTTCTTGTGTTTGTCACTTTCTTTTTCCTCTCGAAATAAAACCGAAGTTTCGAACAGTTCTCATTCCTCGTCTCATAAAATGACACACATTTTCATTTAAACTTCCTACTTTAGCGTTGAAGTTACCCCATTAAGATCACCATATCCTGTCAATGTCTAATCTAAATGACTATAAAAAGCTTTCTTCACATTCAAGTAATTATCCTCTGTGGGAGCAAAGCACTGAATAATTTGAAGCTTTCCATACTTGACACTAAATCTAGGTCTGATACATCAAGATCTAACAGATGTTTAATATTTTTGAATTGATTTTTTCAAACCTTGCAATGTTATTAATAATCAGATAGGAAGTGCAAAGAGTATTTTGAATCGTTAATTTCTGGTTATTTTTGAAGGTCGGAAATCAGGTTTTAATACCTAATGTCAATCCCTAATGTTAACAATTCAGTCCCTTTAATAAATCAAAAAATATATTATAATGTGTATAAAATTAAATAACATCTAGTTCCAGTCAGTCAGTCTGTAAATATTCTTTGAAAAATGATAATCTCAGAAGTTTTAATATTTTTGGTTGCATTTTTTGTGGGTAAATACTTTTGGGATTATCGAAGATTTTTTTATTTGGCACACAAAATTCCATTCAGTAGCTTTGATTATTCTATAAAGGGAATCAATCAAGCTATGAAAGCTGATAATAAAGTAATTTTCAAAATGATTAAAGAGTCCTTTAATAACAATAAAGTGTGTTCAAAGTCGTGGTTTGGATTGTGCTTATTTGTTTTAATTGCTAAGCCAGAAGATATTAAACTTGTGATGAACTCAAAGGATTGCCTTGACAAACCGAGATTAGTGAAGTTTTTGAGAATTCCAAAAGGCTCATTATTTGGAGATTTAAAGTATTGGCACTCGAACAGAAAAATCCTAAATCCATATTTTGGCTCCAAAAAATTGCAAAACTTAATTCCAATTTTCAATGAAAAAGTGAAAGTTTTAATGTCAAATTTAGAGAAAATAAAAGAAAAAAGCGAATTTAATGTTCTTTATGAAATGACTGCCTTAACACTGGAGACGATAATTAAAGTTATGGAATATGATGTAGATTTGCAGAACCAAAAAAGTGAAGTTCGAGATGTTTTTATCGAAAATTTGGAAAAGTGAGTTGATAATGATTTTAAAATTAATTATGATGGGTTCCTATTGCTCCACTATGAAGCGTAGGGCGTACACAAAGCATTTGAATCGCACTCGATTCTGGGCCAAAGCTGCTATTTCCTGCAGCTTCTTGTTCTGTTGATGCGCATGTACTGCATGTAAATTTTTTAAAACAAATTTTACAAAAATATTTTTTTTATTTAATTATATTCTTTTTATCATATTTATCAAAAATTTCATAAAAAATATGATAAAAATGTTGAAGTTCGCTTCAAACTGCTTAAAAAGACAGGTTCCTACATCAGAACACTTCTACTCACAAGATTTGGTGTCAAATTGATCAAAATTGTCCAAATAATCATTATTGAGACATATTGAAACGATTCCAGCAAAAATTAGAAGTTTCAATTTTTTTCTCAGATATACATACGCATGTTACGTGCGCATACATGCGCTTATTTTTGCATGTGCAAGCATGCGCATTTCAATTTGGCGAACCCTAGTAAAATCATTGAAATTGATCCTTTATCATGGCTCTTTTATGAAATCCTTTAAAAGTTGCATCAATCGATAAAATAAAAAATAATTAATTTTCAGATTTGCGAGGATTGGAACAATTCGAATATTCAAATTTTGGCTTTATCCTGAATTTATTTTCAAATCTACAAAACTGTATCAAGAACAAATTGAAACTGGATCAAAAACTGCCATGAGTTTTACCAATTACATCATACAAAATGTCCAGATAGAACCACAAGATGATGACGATGAAAAATCCAGCACATTCATAAGAGCTTTGGTAAATCCAAAAAATAATTTGCCAATGGATGAAATTCAAGATGAAGTAAATACTATTGTTATGGCTGCTCAAGACACTTCTGCAATTGCATCTTCATCAACACTTTTACTACTTGCTATGCATAAAGAAGTCCAACAAAAAGTGCTTGATGAGCTTCATAATACATTTGGATATAATCTTGATGCACCATACATAGATATTGAAAAAATCAATGAGCTGCAATACCTGGAAATGGTCATAAATGAAACAATGCGTTTATTGCCAGTTGTTCCATTCATATTTCGTCTTAACTCATCAGAAGTCAAAATTAGTGAGGGATACACGATTCCCGAAGGATCTTACATCACAATTTCAATCTTTGATCTTTATCGATCAAAAAGTATTTGGGGAGATGATGCAGAATTCTTCCGTCCTGAAAGATTTGAAAAAGAAAGCTTTAGTAAAATTCCATCTTATGGCTACATACCATTCGCTAAAGGGCCAAGAATGTGTGTAGGTTGGCGGTATGCAATGATGTTGATGAAAATTCAGCTTGCTAATATTTTACTGCAGTACGAAGTCGATACAAGCTTGAAACTGGATGAACTAGAATTCCAGTATAGCATTTCTATGAACGTATGTCAGGGATACAAAATAAGTCTAAAGAAAAGGGTAATTGATTGATTTTTGATTATTTAATAAGCAAAATTCGATGCATATGTGTTTTTTTATGCCTTCTCAAACAGTTTAAGTACTGTTTGAGGAGGCTTTTTCCTTTACGTGGAGAGTAAGTATAAAAAGTTAAAGTTTTAAATAAAAAAATAAAAAAAAATATTAATATAAAATGAATAAAATAAATAATAATAATAAGATTAAAGCTGTGAGTGACATGCTGTCTGACATAATTGTAAATTTCAATGCCCTTGTTAGTTCTATATTCAATAATATTTTAAGGAAATTGATTTAAATAAATGTGAAAAAATATTTTATGCCAGTTAACAGCAATATTTTGAAAAGTATCTACATTAAAAGCCCTAGAAACTAAGTTGTCAATACTGTTGGTATGACTCATATACCACAAGAATCACATTAAAAACAAATCGATAGATGTTTTGCATGCAGTAATTCT